TAATTATTTAATTATTAAAATATATGAAGAAATTTAATAAGATTTTAAATTTGAATTTTATTCGGTAGAAAAAGTTTCAAACATAATACGATGATGCTTTAAAACGATCTCAAATTTGCTGCGCAGCATTCGTGAGACGAGATAAGAAGAGACACGATAAGAAGCTGCTGCGCTTCATCTCTCAGCATTTGTTTGCAGGTGGCTTTTGTCTATGAACTAATGAAGGATCATTTGCATAACAACGCGGAATTTTTCACGAATATCGTTATGCAAATATGTCGCCGTTGATATTCGAATAGCATAATCGTGCGACTCGATGCATCGTTTGAATTATTAGCATCGATAACAAAAAAAAACGAACCTCTCTTTAACGAGATAATTATTTAAAACCAAAGTAAACAAAAGATAATTTCCATTCTTCTAAGAATTCTCTTGTATTATGCGATGCACATTAACATTCTCTAATAATAAAAATCAAGGACAATTGTTCTGAGAATTAAAAAAAAACTCGATTTTCTAAATATATTATCGAGTTGAATCAAATACTCTGAAGCAATGTTTAGCAAGATTTTCGAAAGAAACAATCGAAATATTTTTTATATTCTAAAAATATATGATCTCGAAAAAAAGAACGCAGTTATAATAATTCTTAATTCTCTGAGAATATAATTATAAAATAATACACACACTGAACTATTATAATATCTCAATAACTACGATTAAAATATCGACTAAATTAAGAAAATTATATTTTCTAATATTTTTATGAAAATGTGAGACTCTGGGAGATTTATATCCATTGTCTCAATTTTTCCCGTTCATTAACGTTCTAAATAAAGGAGGATAATTTCCAACTGTATCCTCGTGGAGAGTTAATGAGCTTTCCTTGTATGTATGTGTGAGTCGCATTTATATTATATATCGTGCGTTTCCAAGTTTATACATATTTCGCATTTTGAAAGGAAATATAATCTCTCCTCTCTTAAAAGGATCTATTCGCAATGGCAATCACGGCCTGTTTACGGAGACTTTTCCGTCGCGGGAGGATCCTTGATACATTGTCCTTGGACGAGAAAACGATCCTGCGATCGCCGTGCAATCATCGGGATTAATGTTAAATGAAAAAAAAAAATGGTTACGCTCGCTCTCTGGCGCGGATAGAACGCGTGATATATGTAAATAGAAAATGCTACGCGCGTCTTTTGAAGTACGAATATCCTTGTAGATACTCGTTAATATAAGTGTAAAAATGTATAAATAATATAAAATAATATAATATAATACTTTTTATCGATTTTTTCAAGATTATATTTGTCAATATAACGTTATTCAGAGAAAGATTCGTAAATCTCTGAAATTAATAGAAAAGGTGAATAAAATGCAGTTTAATTTCTCGAAAATTGCTCGGAAATATATAAACAAGATATCATATCTGTTTATATAAATAGACAAATGTTAAAATTGTGTATACACATCAATTGAGATCGTCGTATTCCACTACGACATTCAGAAACGTACCATAAATCGTTGAATTCGCGAAGGAAAGTGAGGAGATCACGGAGGAGGTGAGAGCATAGATGTGTAAGTAAGCCATGTTCATCATCACAAGAGAAGAGGCATCCAGAAAGAGAGACAGAGAGAAAAAGAAAAAGAAAGAGAAAGAGAGAGAGAGAGAGATATATACACATGGATGAAGAAAGAAAGAGCTGTGAGAAAAGAGAAGCGGTTGCCGATTAGGGGGAGGGAGACAATGAGAGTAAGAGAGAGACACTGATGGCACTAGAGAGGAGAGTAGAGGAGAGGAAGTACGGCTTGGAAGTGCAGCGTTCGTACCAGGCTGCGCGGCCTGGTACGAGCAGAGCACCGACAGCAGTCGGGAGGGAATGTGCATTGCGGAGTAGGAATGCAAATATCGAAGACAGATAGCGATATTCACGCGTGATGCACTCATGCTCGACATTTTCTTTTTCTTTTCCTTCTTTCTTCCTTGACGCGATGTTTTCACATCGCACGGCAATGAACTTTCATCGATCGTCGAGCAAAGACGAAGATAATACTCCGTCATATTTCTTAAAATGTGTGACAATACTCCTCTTAGATAAATTTTTCGAAAATTATATCCATCGCGCGTTCGGAGGTGATTTATCGATCATTAGATTCGAACAAATAAAATTAAGTGCGTTCAATTTCTTAAAATATATTGCTCGATCAACATCTGAAGTAAATGCTTTCTTCGACATTTTAAACTGAGATTTCAAAGTTCATTATCAGCTTCAGTGACCCGAACACGAAAGAGAAAAATGGAAAAATATATTTTATTTTACATAAGAAAAGCAATTGTTTAGAAAAATGGCTATATAAATAAACAGTAGAAACACTTAAAATTAATTCTTCTCCAACTTTTTAAGATGCTCGAGAAATTAATTATTTTGCGAGAAACGCTTGTCTTCAAGACTATTTTAATTTCTGCACAGAATAATAATAAACTGTAATAAAGTAGTATACTGTAATAAAGTGTATACTCCGATGGAAAATTACACAGAAACAAGCGTAGATATTCGGACGATTATTTATCAGCGATCGGTCCATTCATCATCCGCTATCACCCGTTTCGCTGTGCTCGCAGGTGTATCTACATAATGGCAAGCTTCAGTAATGATATAATGTATTGTTAAGTAACGTATATATCAAACACACACATGCATCCTATGACATCGGCGTTCACCTTCGCGCTCGCGTGAGAGGCGGATGCTCTTTCAGCAATGCCGTTCGTACCAGACGGTGCAATAGCCCAGTCATAAGTACCGCTGCTGCATCAACAGCGTCGTGCATCTCAAGATAACGCGACCCGTCCATCGCGTCGGATAAATAAAATATTGTCGTCAAACGGAAAATACCTTAGATATCCAGCCCTCTCGAGCGAGAGCCGGATGTCTCCGAAGACGACATCCACGTACAATTTTATTATCCCGACCAGAGTATCGTTGTGACCGGATAGTAACGGATTCACTGATAGTAGGCTATCGAAACCGATAATTAGGTAAATCAGGTAGGCATCGCGAAAAACCGTTTCTCGCCCACCATTATCGCGACAATTATTTATTGAGATCAAATCAAGATACACGGTCTCAAATGCCACGGCGTCAAGTGAAGGCGCATAAGTAACAAGAGAGGCTGGTATGCATATACATATTTATATATATATACATACATATATAATATGCGAAGCAACTAGTGCAGGCACGTTTATCACACGATCGATTGGATTCTAGGTGTGCTCGATTGATAGCTCGAGTATTTAAGAGACAAATATTCTTTACATTTTTCTTTCTCCACGTGTCCTTCCATCAAAAATATCGCCGGCAAATTTGATAGGCCATTTGATGAAACGCACTTTAATACCACACTAAATATAATCTAACAAAAAAAAAAATTCGTTTTAAATGATATACGTAAATTCCATTCCATAAATCAATTTTCTTATCCATCTTTTCTTCCCCTTAAGGATGTATCTAATAAAAAGAAAGTGTTTTTTTTACAACACATTCTTTGTGATATTTTTCTAAAAAAATTGGCGAGCGAGATAATAATGGACAGAAATATATAAAAAAAAATGTACTTTTTTTTTTTTAGTACGCGTTCTCTTCTTCAAGCACATTATTTCCTATCAACGATAAGAAAGACAGGCACGATCGGTTATAAGTCAATTGTAGCATAGGTCGTCGGCGCGTCCAGAGGAACGTTCGAAGAAATCTTGGACACGGTACGGCCTGGATCGCTAATTGGATCAACTCGCGCGGATCAACGAACGCCGCGTGCGACATATATATGTACCAACAGCCAGTGTCATTCAGCAGCCACCCAACTCTCGTCGTATACCGGGCTCGCGTAGTACGCAGTACAAGGCCACGGCAGACGATTGATATTCTCCGGTGAAGGGAAATCTCTCGAGGCCTCTGTAATTCACGACGCGCCAATTCTCTCATCTCTCCTCGTTTAGAGACCGTACATCGATGAAGGTGCTCTATAGTTCCCGATTGTTCGTAAATTATGCAAAGCTTTAAGCGCACGAGGACATACTTTAAATGTATGTATATTCGCATCTCTTTTCAAGGAATTTTTTTTTTTTCGAGGAATCTCGCATCTCTTTTCAAGGAATCTCGAATGAATCGACGATGACATTTCTCGGAATAAAAATATAGTCAGAAACAGTCAAATATAAATGAATGGAAAAAGTACCGTTCGATTCATTTTCCATTTTTGAGAATATTATAAATAATTGATACAAGCGCGCGAGAAAATAGTCGGTACGCAAAATTTTACAAGAACAAGGAAACGTGCGCTTAATGTGCACCGAGCGGTTAAGAATACGCATCCACACGCGCGAGACACAATCTCT